GGTAACAGATTCTGCCCAGGCACCGTTTCATAGTCGGTCAAGTAGCAAAGCAGGGAAAAATAGGAAGAACAAACGCACTCGTGCGCCGACTTCTAGGTTAGCCCCGCAAGCTGAATTCGTACTGACTGGTAGTATGCCATTTAATAATAACACGGAAAGACGTGCCTCTGTTTCAAGTGCATCGAGTGGTGAACCCACTTATGCGGCGTTTCATGCGTCAGCACTGAGGAAATATCCACAACATCCGAATGCGTTAAATTCGTCCTCCAAGAGAGTGCGAATTCCTGCCCGAGTTTGTAATCACGCTGTGTCTGACCTCACTATCGACACAGCAGCTGATGTACCGTGTATATCAGCGTCTTTTATTAAATCGCATCCAGTCCTGCAACGTTTACCTCTGAAACCTGTGCCTCCTGGCGCAATTCAGTTGAATAGTGCAGATGGCTCAGCGTTGGAAATCCTAGGATACATACGTTTTAAGCTCACACTGGGAGATATCACACTACCAGTGGAGGCTCTCGTGTTGCCCAACCTAGGTCCGGATAAGATGTTGCTCGATAATAGCATTATAAATGCCTTTGGTGCCGTCCTTGATTGGTGCGGTGAGCAACTTTCATTAAAAATTCAACACGAAAAATTCCGGCAACTCACAGACGTACGAATAGTCAAGTGGACACCAATAATGATGCCCCAGCGCAAATTTCCATAGTGACGCTTGACCCATCGATAGGAGCGGTGCCCGTATATCTCTCTAAGAGATTCTGCATCCCCCCCGAAAGTGAAATGGCAGTAGACGTCGTGACACAACACGCACCACAGGCAAACACGCCTGCGTTGGTCGAGCCACGGATTGTCACTGCCCAAGACATCGAAACGTCTGAAAATATACCCGAAGCGTTCCGTACAATCGTAGTCGCTAGAACGGTATGCAATTGGTCAGCAAAGGACAAGTCCGCTGCAGTACAAGTTGCTAATCCATCCAAACGACACGTTCACATTGCACGCGACACTATTTTGGGGTACATTTCGCCAGTAAAATCGGTTGCCGATAAAACAGTTAGCGCTGTCAATAGCGACCAAACCACATTCCGACACAAGCGAGACGAGTTGAAACGAGCCATGAAAAAAGCTTTCACGAGCACTACATTAACTCCTCATCAATGTTCGCAAGTCTTGGATTTATGCGCGAAATACCGTAATGTGTTTTCATTATCTCCGAAGGAGCTCGGAAAATGCACGATAGCCAAGGCAGATTTTCCGCTAGAACCAGGCACTAAACCAGTCGATCGTGCTCCCTATCGTACTAATCCTAGAGCGCAAGAAGTCATCGACAAGTGTGTGGAACAAATGGAAGACGAGGAGATTATTGAACAGAGACCTAGTTCATGGGGATCTGCTGTTACCATCGTAGCAAAAGCTGATGGCACTCCTCGATTCTGCGTTGACTACCGCTCTACTATTAACAAGAGTTTAATTCAAAAATCTTGGCCCATGCCAGATATAGAATCCCATATTGATACCGTTGGAGGTGCAAAATTTATTACTGTCTGCGATATTCAGTCAGCCTACCACCAAATTGAAGTAGACGAAGCAGAACAAGAAAAGACCGCTTTTGTGACACACAAAGGGAAATGGGTTTTCAAACGCCTCCCGTTCGGGATTGCGAATGCTCCTTTTCTGTTTGCCCGTATGATGTCTCTGGCATTCTCTCACTTCGGACCACGCAGTGGACTTGTGGTGTATATAGACGACATTATTTGCTGCAGCTCAAATTGGGAGAGCCATCTAACCTTATTAGAAAGCATGCTCCAAGCACTCCAAGCGGCCGGTTTTACCTTGAAACCCTCCAAAGTACAATTGGGACCACAGGAAGTAAAATACCTGGGGCACATACTGTCTGCAAAAGGGATTCGCATTGGGGAAGATCGTATACTTCCTCTGTATCATAAGTTAGGGTACCTAAATGCAATATATTGTCTGGGTGCAACCGTGTTAGTGATGGTAGCATAGTCGGGTTTGTA